GCCATTTCAAATTATTTAGCAACCAGGACAGCAGCTTGCGGACAATTACCTGAAGTGAGATGTGCCTGCTGAAGCCCCAGGAGCTCTGTCAGAATCCCCACACACTCTTCTGTGTATGTCCTAGCAATATTGCCTGCACCAGAGGATATAAAAGTCAGCCTTTTACCATCAGGAGATAGGAACCACGAGCCCAACCACTCACCACAAACTCACTTGAAAGAAACAGCCTTTCTCTTTTCCTTTTTGACTACAATCTCTGAAAGTGCAGCCAAATGAGCTTGTTCCCCACACAAGGGATATGTTCCTTTCTCTGAAGCCATGCCTCAGAAGAAGCCTGAACTTTGCTTAAACATATACACATAGGAAAGGCATTTTAGCATCCCTGGCTTTCTCATTATGAATATTATAGAAACTCACCTATTTTAAAGCATACAAAAACAAAACTGACGTGCCCCAAATCACCTTAACTCTGCCCCCATCACAGCTCAAGGAATTAACAGGTATTAGAGCAGCCCCTCCACCCACCACATAGTTTCATTCTACACCATAAGGCTCGTTAGTTAGATGAAATGACACAAATTCTTTAGAGCTCATCAGAGCACAGACATGTGAACAAGATTCAAGGACATAATGCGCAACCTGAAACAGCTCAGTACCAGGATGTCTGAAAGAATCAACACAATCACAGCTTAGAAACACACTCCCACAAAACATTCCTGGGGAGGCTGGTGTACGGAGGGCTGCACTGCTTCAGCACAGATCGCTATTTGGCATTTGCCCAGATGTACTTCAGCAGAGAAAGGCCCACCTTAAAGGTCTGGGGCTGCAGCTGCTCCTGAGGCAAGACCCAGCTCTTACCTATGGCAGAGATCGCCCCTTGGGCAAGCTCTACCGATACATCAGTGCAATAGCCCTTCAGCTCCTCCAGGACTTGCTGTACGTTTTCATCATTCACCAGTTCACACAACACCTCCATCTTCTGGCATTTGATGTAGTGGGGCTCTGAATACGAACAAAAGAACTTTTTGTAGTGGCTGCTAAAATGGCCAGGAAGGCTACCAAGGATCTGACGCACATGGCACAGTGCGGTGAAGCAGAGCTCCCTGCTCTCGGAGGTGCAGGCAGACAGCAGCGGTCCCTTCACTCTCACCAAAACATCTGCCTGCACATGTGGGTACTCCCTGGCCAGCACTAGGAAAAGCTTGGTGGCTGCCATCACAACGCTGGGGCTGCTGCTTTTGAGATAGCCATCCAGTAAATTGAGCACGTCGAAGAGTTCCTCCTCACTGCGGGGTGTGTAACGCAGGAGGAAGGTAAGCACCTCACTTTGCCCCCACTGATCCAGATCCACCATCCTGCAGAGGGAATAAACACAGTTTTTGCAGGAGTCAAGAAGCACACGAAGGTCTGCACTGTGCAGAGCCTCTGGGTTTCTTACGGTCCCTGTTCCAAACCAAACGCTATGCTTCAGAAGGAGACACCACAATTTTATCTCTAGAGAATTGACCCGTTTACACACATAGGCTTAATGCAGGATCGGTTACCTGAACTTTTGCTGGTAGTCTACGCCAGAGAGCAACACTGACAAGAACCCTGGGCAGAGCAATACCCCTCTTTTGCCAGACCATACAGAATCTGCAGAAGAGTTAGCCTCCTCAAGAAATGGATAAGTTTTGTATCTTTCCACGGATTAGGAGAGACGTACTGGAACATACCTGCCCCACAAATATATCATGTATACTGTCACCAAAAAACAAACCAAACCCTAATCGCATTAACTTACAATTCTAAAACAAACCACCAGCTGAACAAAGACTTCCTAGAAAAGCAAGGCATCTCAGGTTCCTCTCAAGATCTTAGCATAAGAGTAATTTGGTTTCTCTTAGGATGGACAGCTCCACCTTCAGTGCCTGACTCCTCCCTTCAAGTGCTGCCAGGAGCCCAGGAATACCTGCTTCGGTGGCACGCAAACGCAGGAACAAGAATGAAGCTTCCTGCACCATCTTAATATCAAAGAAAACAAACCTGTTGAGAAGATGATGGGCAATGGGTTTGTTGATGACAACTCCTCCCTCCTTCTTCAAGATCTCTTCCAGGGCCCTCAGACAATTCACGACTACAATAGGATCCTGATCACGGAGCAAACTGTATAGCTCATTCACCAATGCACCATCTGCAAAGAAGCAGAGGCCTGTACATCAAATTCTGTTGGCACGCTGCAGTTTAACCACTATCTACAAGCATTCATCACCAATACGAGATAGAGCTTGGACTGGAAGAAGCAGTCAACGAAATTTCCCGCTCTACAGTAACACCCGCCCTGGGCACAGCTTCTCCCCGACGGTCTGCGGGTGCGAGAGTGGCACCGGGCCGACCAGAGACTGCGGGAATGGCCGGGTGTCAACGCAGGTACCGCTGTGAAAGAGGCACCGCGCCGTGGAGCCCCGCAGCGCCTGGTGCTTCGCCAAGGGTTCGGCACACAGCGCTAGCTCGTCGTCTTCTCCCTCTTTCCGCCTCGCAGCCAGGACAACCCAGCGGACAA